ATCGATTGGATTGAATTCATACATGAATGAGGACATACGCTAATGAGACATAAATGTAACCATAGTAGTGATCAGTGAGGCAAGTTAAGGCATTTCTGAGGAGAAAACGCAAAGCCAGCACGCCTGTACAGCACTTGGAAGGGGTATGAAGGGAAGGAACTGGGACAGGACGAAGGAGAAGGGACGGTGCCCAGCTGCTCTGACTCTCAGGGTGTCAGGATGGAAGCCGCTACCACCCTTGTAATGACCGCTGCTCGCTGATATTGTAATATATTAACACTCGGTCCGTCATACGAGGACCTAAATAATTACTCAAGATGGTCTGAGCTCTGCGTAGACAGTTTAAGGGAGTGGAGAGCGAGAGGGAGAGCAAGAGACAGAGGGAGAGTAGAGAGCGCGAGAGAGAGACAAGGTACTGGAGCGAGAGAAGAAGATGAAGATTAAGCCACCCAAAAGGTGGCACGGGCATGAATAGCCCGTAAGTGGTGGCCCTTTGGAGCCATTACCAGTATCAAGAGCTGATACTGGAGATCTGTGGAGGTGCGACTGCACCCTGCGTGACGGGAGATGTCTCGGAGCGTAGGACTTGTAGATGTATCCACCCAGGACAGGGGTAAGGAACAAATGAATGGTAAAAAGATCCTGTCCTGTCACTCGAATAAGCCTGAGACCACTTGGGGTGTACTATAGAATACACGGGAGCAAGACGGGACTCACCTCACACGGGACAGACGAGGGCGGAGTACTGGGTAATTAAGGGCACTAGATCACTACGGGTCAAAGGGGACGGTAAGCCCAATATTATTAAGACACGACCCATAAACACACACGGGAATGACACTCTGAAAATAGTACTTTATTTAACACATTATAAAAAGACACTTCCTAACTATGTTCCCTATCATAGGCTAAGATAAAGGAACGAGACGGTGCTGGGTACAAGAGAGGCCGACTTACTACCGGTTGTTCCACGTGACCTTGAGACGAGGTTACACACACATAGATCACACTAACGTGATGCATCAAATGATTAAGGCAGTGTCTGGGATGCTCCCGGACGCAGGTTCGAATCCTCGTCACGGCCCTTGTGGATTTGTTCTTGAGACGAGGTCCTTCCAGGAGCCACAAACACACTCCATCACTTCTCCCCTTGTTCTGTCCCTGGACGTGATCCCTGGACCCATCCACTTGGCCTGGACGGTAGAGCGATGGTCTCGCTATCCTGACCCCCTTTCCAAGGGCTATATATATATAGTCGTAACGGCTTGGCGCTTTACCCCTGATAATGCCCTCTCCAGCTGAACGAGGTGTGTAAGGTCTTCGGCTTACGCTTGACGGCATCGTATCTAACAACCTCGTGACCCCATCACTGTTGACCTGTCCCCCTGGTTAGCTTCTCTGAGGTGTGAATTTTCCATTGTTTTGTGCGACTATCTGGCCCCGCGCCCCTCTAGGCAGTTATGCTGTTATATCTACTACTATGTACTGCTCTCTCTTGTTACGAGGGATCGAACGCAACCCAGCATGAATCAAGGACATCACTGTATTAATTAGAACATAAAGTAGTAAGGGCGACGGGAGTTTCAGTGATACATGTACAGCACCCTGGTAACTCCTTTGTTTTAAGGGAATGTGAACATTTACCTTCAGAGAAAAGCTTGTCCTCAAGCTTCCAGAGATAAGTATGTCCTCAAGCTTCCAGAGATAAGTATGTCCTCAAGCTTCCAGAGATAAGTATGTCTTCAAGCTTCCAGAGATAAGTATGTCCTCAAGCTTCCAGAGATAAGTATGTCCTCAAGCTTCCAGAGATAAGTATGTCTTCAAGCTTCCAGAGGCAAACATGTTCTTTAAACTCTCAGAGACAAACACGTCTTCAAGCTACCAAAGACAAACACACATCCTTAAGTTTCCACCCATTGTCTCGGGAGAAGATACGGTGTATTGTTTATCTGTGTTAGCTGAGGGTTCAAGTCTGTCTGTATTAAGCCAACAAAATATAGGAATATTAGACAATCTTTGGAGCTGGACGAGGCTCGAACCAGCGTCCTGGATTGTACCGCGATGTACACAACATTCCTTCCGTACAGGAATGTTGTGTACAATGATAAAGTCATATACATTTCATCATAAAAGTCATATAATTTCGTGAACGCAAAAGTGTAGAGCTGTTTTTTGTTTTATTCCAAATTTCAAATTCTTGCTGGCGAAGGTCCAGCAGAGCTTGTGTTTCCCTTCCACAGCTCCGGTGTAATATCATGTCTGCTGAGACGTATGACAGACAACCCCATGATATGGAGTGAGATATTAGTGGACCAATGCAGGCGATGAGTCACAATAACGTGTCTGAAGTATGTTGACCAGACCACACACTAGAAGTTGAAGGGACGATGACGTTTCGGTCCGTCATGGACCATCGACTTGAGAATGGTCCAGGACGGACCGAAACGTCGTCGTCCCTTCAACTTCTAGTGTGTGGTCTGGTCAACATTAGTGGACCAAATAAGAAAAGTGAAACTTAACAAAGGCAAGTGTGAAAAAAGCGAGAAAACTGGGAAAGGAATATATATTAATTGACATTATTTGACCACAAACTGGAGGCCTCAAATGAGCCAGGAACTCTATGTGTCTATAGTGAGGCCCTGATAGATCTCACTATAGTGGCCCAGATCTATAGTGAGATCTAGGGGCCCTGGTATGTAAGCCTCTTAACAAAAGGCTCTTGTGGTGTACACTACAGCAGCTTTCAAAATTTTCAGTACGAGGGGTTGAATCGTATATTTTTACACATTTTTGAGGGCCAGAGAAAAGAAAACCAGTTTTATAAATTAATGAATAGGAATTACTTTGACCTTTTTAGAGGTAATGAACACGAAAAGATTCAGCACGAAGGAGAAATGCGACAATTTCAAACTAAGTGAAATATGAAATGATATATAATGAGTGAAAATGTCAAAACCTTTTTGACATTTACGAAAGAATCATTTACTTAACTGCAGATGAAAAACGCAGGCTATTAATTTTGTCATTTATTTTATTAACTGAAATTTTACAAATGTTTACATGAAACGAGAATTTGCCCAATTTTGTGGCCCCCCCAATTAAGGAAAATAAACATGGCAAGCCAGCAACGCTCAAGCTTAGTGTTGTATGGTACAGGAATTGGCCGTGTTAACTGCTCGATTGCGTGGTCGAGAAAAATACGAAGGGGGAAATAATTAATGTTATTATTTAAATATATTTCAAGTTGCTTCGGGCCAGATGAAATCTTATGGCATGCCTGGCTGCAGTTTGGTGGCCCTTGGTCATATCTACATCTATATTAAAGAGAATGTTTGTCTGTCCAAGGATGAGTGCTGGATGTTTGCGGTTAGCCTCACACAATTTTCATTTGTGACTGCATGGGGAGTGTTTTAGGTGGGTCATGGGTTCGACCCTCCCATGCATGTCCTTAAGTAGGACTGTCCTCCTATTGTGACAACCATTCTGTGGTAGGTTGGTCGTTGTCCACGACAAGGGGGAAACATATATGGTGATTGGTAGTGTACTGGTAGTGTACTGGTCATGTCGTTTTGTTTATTTGATAAGACGTGTGGTGTTCCTGAGCACTTCCTCCGACATGCTTGTGCATGCCTGCGTGAGCCTCCAGGATCTGAAGTGTCGGGCCAGGTTAATGGCTGTACCTGTGCAGGTGTTTATTATGTACAGTGACCCACCTCCTCCCCCCCCTCCCTGCTGAAGGGTCAAAATCCAACCTTGCGACCTATGTTCCTAGTCTTGGGTAAATCTGGGCTAATTAGCCTCCCTGACAGGGTTTCAAAGGTAAACAAGAAGTCATCATTGAAACACGAGCAAGACAAATCGCTAATTGGTGTATTGTCTGGTTTAATTATTTTCCTAGACCTGGCAGAGATCTGGTGGCGGGGTTGATCAGTACCCTTCCCCGGTACCTGTCCCCCGGTACCTGACCCTGGTACCTATCCCCCCCCACTTTCATGTGCACCGTACCAGGTCCAGGGGGTCTCCTCAACACTCCCCCCCAATACTGGTCCCCATGTCGTCTCTCATTCCCTACAGCCAATGCTGTTCCATCTCACGTTACCCAATTTGCCAGATCTCATCTTCCTTCTGATTACTGGCGTTCCATGTCCTTGAGACGGATCAACTTTCTCATTTAATCCGAACCCACCAATGATAGATCACATCTTCTTGATTAAAACGTATTTTTTCCCATCTATACCTAGTAAATAAGATAAGGCATGAGTACTAAGTGTATCAAAGATGTGATACAGCTTCTTTTAGTTCAAATGGTTTGATAGTGATACTTGAAGCACATATCTGGATCAATTATATCCTAATATTATTTGTAGACGTCTGAGGCTGCAGGGAAGGTCAGTCAGGATGAGTCAGGATGAACCGTATTCAGAGTTAGCTGTGGTAATAAAGCTTTGGGTTACATTTTAGCTTTGCTATATCCATATTGAGGGGAAAATGGATAACAGACCTTTTGGTAGTACTAAGTCCACCCCCACACACACGTGTCTAGGTCACCACACACACACGTGTCTAGGTCACCACACACACACGTGTCTAGGTCACCACACACACACACACGTGTCTAGGTCACCACACACACACACACGTGTCTAGGTCACCACACACACACACACGTGTCTAGGTCACCACACACACACGTGTCTAGGTCACCACACACACACGTGTCTAGGTCACCACACACGTGTCTAGGTCACCACACACACACGTGTCTAGGTCACCACACACACACGTGTCTAGGTCACCACACACGTGTCTAGGTCACCACACACACACGTGTCTAGGTCACCACACACACACACGTGTCTAGGTCACCACACACACACGTGTCTACACTAGACCCTGGGGCTGTTGGAACAGAGTATACGCAGATCATACGCCCACAAACTCAGATGGGTAAAAGTGAGTAACATTGTTATTCTTGCAGCGTTATTCACCGCTGGTTTAGTCTATATCTTGTTATTCACAGCTGGCTTGATGCTGTTATTCACAGCTGGCTTGATGCTGTTATTTACAGCTGGCTTAATGCTGTTATTCACAGCTGGCTTGATGCTGTTATTCACAGGTGGCTTGATGCTGTTATACACAGCTGGCTTGATGCTGTTATTCACAGGTGGCTTGATGCTGTTATTCACAGGTGGCTTGATGCTGTTATACACAGCTGGCTTGATGCTGTTATACACAGCTGGCTTGATGCTGTTATACACAGCTGGCTTGATGCTGTTATACACAGCTGGCTTGATGCTGTTATACACAGCTGGCTTGATGCTGATACACAGCTGGCTTGATGCTGTTATACACAGCTGGCTTGATGCTGTTATACACAGCTGGCTTGATGCTGATACACAGCTGGCTTGATACTGCTATTCACAACTGACTTGACCTACATATCGGTCAAAGGTTCGATATAATGTCGCGATTCACAACTGGTTTATTTTTCTGTGGCATGTCGGCCTCGCCTCCCTGGTCGACCTCTCGCTGCTGCAGGGAGGCAGAGGTCGGGGAGCCTCGCCCGCTAGAGATGTCCGCCTCTCTCTTCCTGTAAAGATAATCGATAACATGTAAATGAACTTCAGACTTGCGTGTCTGTTTGGATCAACAGATGTGGGTCAACAGATGGTTGGAGCAGCAGAAGATGTGGCTAACAGATGGCTGGAGTAGAGTCTTGGAGATCTGCACTATTTTTGCATATTTATTAAATCAAAACATGGCTGCAGGCGACAGCTTTATAAGAATTATAACGTGATGATGGAAGTAAAGCCAAAATTATAATATAGAATTCCAAGGGTAACACGATGGAGTATGTAACTTAACCATGACCGAGGGGTCAAGGAACTATGCTTATATATATATATATATATATAAATATATATATATATATATATATATATATATATATATATATATATATATATATATATATATATATATATATATATATTTATTTTGCGTACCTACCAAAAAAGATGTTTACAACTATTCATTCCCATATTCGAAGCTAATTAATATCTTCCTTCAGTTGCGTTGAGTTTCCCTTTGAACTCAAAACGATCAGTTTTTTCATGTACGTAAATATAATTATATTGATTTTTATTCCAAAATCAAAATAGTTAATGAAAACTGAGAATAGCAGAAGCCAAGTACAGAACCTTGGGGAACGCCACATGTAACTGTTCTCCACGCCGATTTTGTTCCATTTATACTTTCTGTTGTCATGTCCTTCAGGATCCTCTAATCAAAGTTACTCTCTTGCCTACAGGACCATGCTTTTCAGTCTATGTAATTAATGTCTAATACTGAATTGTGGTGAAATCCACTGCTTCAAATTTAAAAAATATATTATCTAACAATCCAGTCAAACAGACATGCAAAGACAAAAAAAGCAGACTTGGAGATAGACAAGCAGATAGATATACATAACCCATCACATGATATCTAACAGACAGACAAATAGGATAAATATACCCTGCAGGCCAGCACCCACAGGCAGACACAGACAGGGATACAGAGCAGGCCGCCGAGCACTCAGTCAGACGGAAACAGGTGATCGAGGCCGGATATATTGGTCTGTGGGAACCCGGCCTTACGCTCCAATAGGCTCATCCCAGTCAGAGTTCGGTGCACGCGTTGATTCACCAACAGTTCGCGCCAAAAGTTGGGATTGTTGGCGATGTCACAACTGGCGCCGGGGTTAAACTATGCGAGAGAGAGAGAGAGAGAGAGAGAGAGAGAGAGAGAGAGAGAGAGAGAGAGAGAGAGAGAGAGAGAGAGAGAGAGAGAGAGAGAGAGAGAGAGACAGAGAGAGAGACAGAGAGATATCGTCTTATTCTGGTTTCTGCCAAGTAAGCAGCATCTTTCTCACAGGTGTAAGAGAAGTCGTACTTTGGTCCACCTCTCTAACACATACCAACTTGGAAAAGAAAAAAAATATTCGAGTTTTACTGACCAAAAAAAGTTTTTGCTTTTATACTTTAATACTTTTCGAAATTCTGTGCGAGTCTCTTATTGTTCTGAGGTGGCGGTCACAACACCATAAATGGTCGAGAGAGAGAGAGAGAGAGAGAGAGAGAGAGAGAGAGAGAGAGAGAGAGAGAGAGAGAGAGAGAGAGAGAGAGAGAGAGAGAGAGAGAGAGAGAGAGAGAGAGAGAGAGAGAGAGAGAGAGAGAGAGAGAGAGAGAGAGAGAGAGAGAGAGAGAGAGAGAGAGAGAGAGATAGAGAGAGTAATATTGTGCCCACTGGTAGAGGCATTATATAATAAACAATTACTTTACCCACTATGTAACCACTCTAACATACCCAATATATATATATTGTACATGCATTAATCATTATAGATTAAATATATCTATAATTTATAGATTTATATTACTTCTCATATAGCCTCCCCAAGTGCGCTTCTTAGAGCAAATAAAGCACGAGGTAAACCCAGCACACGAAGGTAAACCCAGCACACGAAGGTAAACCCAGCACACGAGGGTAAACCAGAGTGCTGAATAATTTTAAATCACACAAAATTGTTATAGCCCAAAGTTAGTATCAGAGAGGCTGCATTCCTTGCGGAGAATATGTATGCAAATCGTTCAGAACTTTGCTTATACACGTGTGGTTTTCCTTGGTGTCAGGTATTGGTTATACATGTGTGGTTTCCTTGGTGTCAGGTGTTGGTTATACATATGTGGTTTCCTAGGTGTCAGGTGTTGGTTATACATGTGTGGTTTCCTGGTGTCAGGTGTTGGTTATACCATACAACAAGTCGAAGTGGTGACGTTCGATTCATCCTTTAAAATTCATCATTTACACAAATACGTCAAGATTTCAGAGTCATTCTTATCATGATGATCATCATGTCTTGTAGGTAGAATGTCTCTGGACATTCTACCACAGTTACTCCCCTAAATCTATCACTATCCCTCCTCCTCTTTCTCCTCCTCCTGGCAAACAGTGACTATGGACAAAAAAAAGAGAAAGCTGGTGACGTCACTGAACGCAGGCGAATTAAAGCTGGGATCCCCTTCCCACACCTGCTCATCTCTGTGGCCAAAAACTCATACGTTAAAACTGTAAGATCTCACAGGAATAAGGTGATGGAACCGTGTCTGAATGCAAATTTGGCGTCAGGACATTGCTGTGATGCTGACGTGAGGTAACAGTATTGAGGGGAAGCTTTTAGGCAGTAGACTTCATCTGTATTAAGCCAGTGACCAGAAAATAATCTACTATTAACACCTGGGTAAATACTGGCTTGGAAACAGGTGTGTTGATTTATGGAACAAATTGCCCAGGTAGGATAGCACAATAGACGTGGGATTGCTTTATTGTTTCAAGCGTATGTTAGACATATATGAATGAATTTGGATGGATAAAAACATAAGAATGAAGGTAACTGCAGAAGGCATGTTATACGAGGCAGCTCCTATATATATATATCCACCCAGTCTCATTCATATATATGTAACCTAAGCTTGAAACAATCAAGGGATCCTACTTATATTATGTAGATAGCGGAAATCGGTTCCACAAATCAACAATACTGTTACCGAACCAGTATTTATCCAAGTACAGATGAGGAGTCACAATAACGTGGCTGAAATATGTTGACCAAACCACACACTAGAAAGTGAAGGGACGACGACGTTTCGGTCCGTCCTGGATCATTCTCAAGTCGATTTGAATGGTCCAGGACGGACCGAAATCTACCCAGGTCTTTCCTAAATCTAAACTTATAATAACATATTAATAAAGGTAACTACAGAAGGCCTATTGGCCCATACGAGGCAGCTCCTATCTATAACCACCCAATCCCACTCATATACTTAGTCAAGTCAGAGTGGGAAAATGTTGTAAGTGGGGTGCCTCAGGGCTCTGTCCTGGGACCTCTGTTGTTTATAATATACACAAATGATTTAGATTCAGGTTTGAGTAGCAACATTTGCAAATTTGCCGATGATACGAAAATCGGTAGGGAAATTAATTCGGAGGAGGACTCACTAACACTTCAAGTTGATCTAGATAGGGTTTAGAAATGGTCGAAGGATTGGCAGATGCAGTTTAATGCTGATAAATGTAAAGTTCTGAGTTTAGGTAATGATGATAGGGTTACAAGATACGAGCTAGATGGTGTTGAGATTGCGAAGTCGAATTGCGAAAGGGATCTGGGAGTTATGATTAGTAAGAATTTAAAACAAAAGGATCAATGCATAAATGTTCGTAATAAGGCAAATCGGACACTTGGATTTATTAATCGCAGCGTTAGTAACAAGACACCTGGTGTGGTTCTCAAGCTATATCTTGCTCTAGTTAGGCCCCATTTAGATTATGCAGTTCAGTTTTGGTCGCCATATTACAGAATGGATATAAATTCACTTGAACGTGTCCAGCGTAGGATGACTAAGTTAATTCCCCAAATTAGAAATCTTTCATATGAAGGAAGATTAACAAAGCTTAAGTTGCATTCACTGGAAAGGCGAAGAGTTAGGGGTGACATGATAGAGGTTTACAAGTGGATGAATGGACATAACAAGGGGGATATTAATAGGGTATTAAAAGTATCAACACAAGACAGAACACGAAACAATGGGTATAAATTGGATAAGTTTAAATTTAGGAAAGACTTGGGTAAATACTGGTTCAGTAACAGGGTTGTTGATTTGTGGAACCAATTGCCGCGTAACATTGTGGAGGTGGGGTCCCTCGATTGTTTCAAGCATGGGTTGGACATGTATATGAGTGGGATTGGGTGGTTATAAATAGGAGCTGCCTCGTATGGGCCAACAGGCCTTCTGCAGTTGCCTTTGTTCTTATGTTATGTATGTTCAACCCGCACTTGAAACAATCGAGGGACCCAACCTCCACCACGTAACGGCAATTGGTTCCACAAATCAACAATCCTGTTAACGAACCAGTATTTACCCAAGTCTTTCCTAAATCTAAACTTATCTAATTTATACCATAAGAACATAAGAACAAACATAAGAACATAAGAACAAAGGTAACTGCAGAAGGCCTATTGGCCCATACGAGGCAGCTCCTATTCTATAACCACCCAATCCCACTCATATACTTGTCCAACCCGCGCTTGAAACAATCGAGGGACCACACCTCCACCACGTTACGCGGCAATTGGTTCCACAAATCAACAACCCTGTTACTGAACCAGTATTTACCCAAGTCTTTCCTAAATCTAAACTTATCCAATTTATACCCATTGTTTCGTGTTCTGTCTTGTGTTGATATTTTTAATACCCTATTAATATCCCCCCTGTTATGTCCATTCATCCACTTGTAAACCTC